AGAGCTACCATGGCACATGGTGGCTATTGGCTTGCAGAGCTGCCGAAGGAGGGGAAAACAAAAAGTCCTGTTGGGTTTTCCCCCAAAGCTGCAGGTGTTTAGAAGGAATTGGCAGCAGCCATGTCATTGCTTGGCAAGGGTGGAAGTGCTGGAAGTGAGACGAATTTTGAAGGCAGCTAGGGAGAACTCAAGGCAGTGCCTGGGGTGTGCAGCACATGGGTCTCCCCAGTACTGTGCAGTGCTTACACTGGGAGCAAATTGGGATTGCAGCTCTTCTCCATAGCCTGGAGCATGGGCTGCCCAGCAGGAGCTTCTGACCTGGAAATTTCCTTTTGCTGCTAGGCCCACCACAAGAGCAGGAGAGATGTTTGTTATCTTTTGTCTAGTGGCGCCAGCAGTTGAGCAAGAGGAGTGGGAGGCTGGCTGCTGGTTCCTGTATCCGTGCCATCAGGAGCTCCCACCTCATCCCGCTGGGTGGGAGACTCATGGGCTTGGTAGCATTCTCCCCTTTTGTTTCGGTGTAATTAGTCTGAAAAGGGAGAAGGGATGTGGCATTTTCCACCTCAAGGGGAACTGAAGTCTCTTTAGCAGGGTGCGGGTGGTGGCTGCAGGGGCAGCAGCACGGCAAACAGGGAGGGACGGTGCCAGCCGAGCAGGGCAGGGTGTGTGCTCATCAGCCAGGATTTCTCACTCCCTGCAGCGCCTGGCTTTGGTGCAGGCACGTTTGCTTTGCCCGCAGCCTCTCAGGAGGCTCCAGAAGGGTGGGCAAGCACAAGGTGCCAGGAAAGCCTGGTGGCAGCACCGTGGGCTTGTGGCTGGCAGGGTGGACCTGGCAGGTTGCTGGGCACAGAAGAGCACAGCACATCGTTTGCTTGTGGCTGAGCTTTTAGAGAATGCACGTGGACATCCATCTCTTCATAGCCGTGAGCGAGATGGGAAAACCCTCCTGGGCTGCTGTGCTTGCAGAGGTGCTGTGAAGGCTCTGTGAGTCACCTGGGGAAGCACAGGGTGCAGCCAGGCTCCAGAGAAAGTCCAGAGAAAGTCCTTCATCCCATCCCCGAGACCACTGTCTGGGACACGTTTTGGTGTGGGGATGGGTATTGGAGAGTGTTTGCTCAGAGCACCTCAGGGTGTCAACCACACGCTGCTCAGGGCTTTCCCTGGGCACTTCAGTGACAAACCCCTTCCTGCAGCTCTGCAGAATGAGTGCAGCCATCCCCCCACTGCTGCTGGGGAGCTCACAGCCTGCCCCATCCTCTCACAGTCACATGGAATGACTTCATTTTTCCTTTCATCCGCTGGCCAGAGGAAGGAAGGAGGCTTTTTCCAGTGTGGTGGAAATTTTCCCTTGGTGGGGGGGGAATGCTGAGGGAGGTGGCTGAGGGCTTTTCCCACCTAGACAGGGAGGCCATCCACCCACACACAGCTCTGCCTGGAGGAGCCAGGCTGTGCCTTGGTGCTGTGGGCAGAAAACTGTCACAGAGTAGATAGGCATGAAACTATTCAGCTTCTTCTGCCTCACCCAGGGCCAGAAGGGTTTTTTGAAAACAAAAATAAAGGGGAAAATAGAGTCTCCACCCTTCCACCCATTTTGGTTGGCAAATCAAATAAAACAATCTCGGAGCTGGCACCACAGGAGCAGTGAATGCCAGCTCCCAGTCTCTCACATGAGGTGTCGAAATGAAAGGAGATGAACAAACAATCCCCAGGTGCCTGGGGGCTGCAAACTGGTTTTAAGATCCTGATGGGTTGTTTTTTCCTGTGTGGTGGTGGGAGCAGCCCCCCACAATCTCCACATGATTGGGAAACTGCCCCCTATATCAATTTGGTCACCCCTGGGCTATGGGTACACGTTGATTTGGCTCAGGGAAAAGGGCTGAGTGAGAAATGCATCTCACCACAGGTGGTTTTCATAGACATCCTGGCTCGGGGCAATGCAGCCAGTGACAACATGGGATGTCAGGCTGAGCCATTAGCCCAGATATGCCCAGTGGTGGCAGGGAACCCTGCAGGGATAAGCTGTGTGCCAAGGTGCCCCACAGCAGTGGAGCTTCTGCCCTGGATGGATATACTTGGCCCATGTGTGTTTTGTTGCTGTAACTAATATGAGTCTTTAAAATACAGGTGTGGGATTTTTCAGTGGTTTTACAGACAAAATCCCCCTGCTTTGGGCTGTGTACACTCAGAGGTGGCTCTGGGTTTGCCATGAACAAATCTTGTCATGGGTCTTATGAAGATTTTTTTCAAAATTTGTCAGGGGATCCACGTTCTCCTCTCTGTTGGGGGGGAATCATAAGACAGCTTCTTCTCCACCTTCGCTGCAGTCCAGTGGCAGCACTGTGAGCAGCTGGGAGATGCTCTGCAGGGCAGTCACACCTCACAGCCTCTGCCACAAGTCAAATCAACCACTCATTTCTTGCACTGGGGCTGCCCAAGGCACACTGGTGGCCTCATATCTCACCAGTAAGGTGGTGATGATGGTAAACCTGATGCTTTCATGGTAAACCCCATGCTGACATGGGGTGCAGAAGCACTGCAAGGAGGGGATGTGACACTGGGCTGTGCTGGGATATCAGCACCACTGCCAGGATCAGGCCAGCCAGCCCAATGCAACATTTTACCCCTGAGCTTAGGACCATTGCAAAAAGGCCCTGTGTGATGGAGGGGTGGCTTTCCCTGGTGTTTTTCCCCCCATGGCTCAGCTGCTGAGGGGGCAGGAGGTGCTTATCAGCTCACCCCATCGCAGCAGCAGCAGGCGAGGGTGCCCTGCCATCTCTGCTGCTAATCTCATCACAAATAAAGGAGCAGCAGAAGCTAAACTGAGCTCATATTAATTCCCCCTGCCCTGCCCTGCTCAGCTTCAGGAAATACCTACCAGAATTGCCATTCTCATTATCCAAACTATCCCTGGATACAATCATTAGCTGACTTGCCCCTTTGCCAAGTGTGTCCATTCACCATCCTGCTCTGCTCATCCCCAAGGTGCCTGCTCCCACCAGGGCACACACTGCAGGCTCCTGCCCTTGTGCTCTGCCACCACAGCCCCACACGCCACTGCCTGACTGCAGCTGGACCCTCTCCCCTGAAGTTCAGGGGTGCTTTCAACCAGAAACAAGGTGAGGATGGCCAGGCAGCTCTCTCTGAGTCACCTGTTTTGCTTCCTCAAGTTCCTCTAGTGTGCTGCACTTATTTTTGGTGGGGTTGGATGCTGGCCAGGAGGCTTGGATGTGCTGACATTTACGATTTTTTTTTCTGCATAACAAAAGTTTTGCTAAATGAGAAGGAAACAAACTCAGTGCCAGCTTTCACCATGTGTTTTAAACAAGATAAAAGCGATTCTGGGCTGGCCATGGTATCCTCTAGACCTGTGGAGACAGCAGTTTCCCCTGGGGGGATGGTCAGGTGGCCCACACACTGTGCTCCCGGAGGATACTGGGGAGTGACATCTCTCAGTGACATCTGTTGGATCTGTCCACGTGAGCCCCAGGCACCAAGTGCAGGCAGGGCAGTGCTTGGGGTGAACAGCAGTGCAGGATCTGACCGTGCATGGCTGCACTCTGTGGGCTCTGGTGCTGGCACTGACACCAAGGCATCTCATCCATCAGGGTGCTGCTGTGGAGATGGAGTGGAGGGAGGAGAAGCACACGTATGTGGGGCCATGCATACATGGGGAAGAGCACAGTGTTTTGGAACCTGGCTAGGGTCATAGCCCAATGCACAAACAAGCAGGAACACTTCCCCCAGGAAAAGGTGGTTCTTACAGTGGGGTGTGGACATAAGGAGCAGCTGTGGAAACAAAAGACATACATATTTCTTTCCTCTTTTAATATAGTTCTTCCCCAAAGCAGGACTAGCCCATTTTTATCTCACTGCCAGCTGTTTTGTTCTTTTTTCCCCCAGGCTGAGCAACAGTGTGGACAGGAGGAAACATCTTTTTTTTTTTCTTAATGAGTTTTTCATGGGAAGATGTATCAGCCTGTGAGTGCTCAGGCTGGCTCTGCCCAGGTGTAGGCAGGAAGGATGAGCAGGGCTCAGTGCAAACTCCATCTCCTTGCTTTGCCCAGCTCTTTTCCCTGGCCCAGCTGCTGCAGCTGCAGCTCTCAGGCACTCAGCAGCTGCAATGCAAAGCTGACAAATCAGCTTCCACCCACAGCCACAGCACCTCTGAGGTGGGGACACCCTTCCACAGGGACTGCCAGCCTCATGGTGGGGATGGTGACACCCAAATTGTCCATCACCAGGTCAGAGAGCCAGCAGCAGGGTGGGGATACAGCAGGAGGGATGCAGCAGTGGGGTGGGATGGAATGGCAGCAGCAGAGAGTTTTCAGATACAACAGATGCAAAAACCTACGTTGTATTTTGGTGCATACCCCAAAAGAGTTCTGTGACTTGCTCCTGTGAGGCTCCAGAGTGCCAATACACTTGGCACCCACTTCTGCTGTTGCAGCAGAAATACAAATCCACTTCTGAGCTAGAGTTTGCCAGAGCAGAGAACTGGAAAAACAAACCAACAGGAAAAGTGCCTTTGACTTACTTGCATTCCTGTTTCCTGGCTTCAGCCTGGCCCAGGCTGCCAGCAGGTCTCACTGGCAGAGCAGCAGGGTGAAAGGCATGGCCCAGGCAGCCCAGAGTCTTCTCCCTTCATGGGGGATGTTTCAATGAGCCCTGAAATGATGCATCCCCCAAGGCTGCTCAATGGCTCTGCACCAGAGCTGCTTCACCTGGAACCCCCAGCAGTGCACAGGGGCTGTGACTCCCTCCTGCTCAGCAACCTGCCTGCAGCATGGCCATGGTGTGGAGTTACTGCACAACTGGACACAGAGCAAGGCAGATGGACAGGCAGCCAAAAGCACACACACACAGTCCACACTCCTCCAGCATGGACAGGGGGCTGTGCTCTAAGGCCTTAGGCAGGAAACCCCCAAGGCACAGGTACATCATGAAGCAGACCCCAAACTCCCTGGTCTCTCCTAATAATTGTCTGAAGAAAGACAAAGACAGGCCCAGATGTGTTTAGTTTATTTTCCCTGGATTTAGACACAGCTCTGGCTAACCACCACAGCAACAAACAAACCACGACCTGTGCCAGCCCCTGCACCTCCTTGCAGAACCAGCTGGTGGGAGCCCTGGGAGGGCTGGGGCTGCACAGAGGCTCTGCAGGATGCACTTGGGCAATGGCTCTTGGGGGATGGCAGCACAGACCACATGCAAGGTGCAGCATTCAGTCAAGCCTTGGATGCAGCAGCGTGGTGCATGTGGAGGGGCAATGAAATGGGGTCAGGTCTCCAAACTGAACAGCTGCCCTCCCCTTCTTCTCCCCAGCTTTTCCTTTGAAAAGAGGGATTGAATTATTTACAGAAGGGGCACTTAAGCAGGGAAGGCTCCTCAAAGGCAGAGACCTGTGGGCAGTTCTTTGGGAAGCCAACTTGATGAATCTTTTCAACAATCTATGAGGAAGGGACATAACAAAGGAATAAGAAATGCTGGTAGCTTAAAAATGCCCAGAGCCTTTTCCTCTGCAGATGCAGCATTGGAGAAGGTGCAGAAATGACTCTTCCAGCATTTTCTTGGTGGTAATAGTTCCCTCTTCACAGTCTGGGCATTTGTTTCTCCAAATGCACAGAGTTCCCCTTGTCTTGCCCAGGACCAGCTTTTGAGGAGGTCTCTACAAAAGGACAGTCCTTGTTCACAGCCTTTGCAGCCAGTGTCTGGATGGGAAGAGGGGGCTTCTGAGCCTGGGAGGTTTGAATAGGCACAAGCTACAGGAGCAAAGAGAAAAGACAATTCTCTATTGCAGTCCTGGGAATGCCAAAACTGGCAGAGGGGAGCAGAAAAGGACTGACAAAAGGGCCAATGCAGCAGGGAGCTGAGCAAAGCAGCTCAAGGATGTGAACTCCAGCAAAGGTCCCTGCAGTGTTTTCTGGAGAGATGACAGCTTTGCAGTAATTTCAACAGTGAAGATTACTAAAACCTGCCTTTTAGGAACTCAGTTCCAGCAGCAGAAGCAGCTGTTGGGTCAAAATAAAAGCTGTACTTACATCTGGGACAGCAATTCTGTGACTCAGTGCCTGTTTTGATTGAGATAGGGGCTGCTCTGATTCACACACAGGACTAAATTTAATGGTTGGGGAGGAATGATTTACTGGCTTAAGAACCAACTCAGCCAAGAGTTATTTGACTACTTGCTTTCACTTCAACATGCTCAGGCTGGGTCAGAACTACTCTGAGCAAACAGATACTACCACACCATGAACATCTGCTGCTTCTGCAGTGCCAGGATGGGAGGATGCAGCCAGGACATCCAGAGTACAGTGCTGCACTGTGACCATCCAACACCATGGCACTGTAACTTCCTAAGCTGCTTTCCAACAGGGACATGGAAATTATGACTACAAACTTTGGGTTCTACCAGCAGCAGACTGGGCTGGAAGCTCAAAGGATGCAGTGTGAAGCAGCATCCTTCATGTTCCCAGGCCATCAGCAAGAGAAGGGACTGAACATGAGTGACAGACCCTGTTTCACCAGAGTCAGCTGCATATCACATCCCTTCATGCCTGTGCACAGCTCATACCCCTGCTCAGCAGCTGATTTCCAGAAGCTCTGCTCAGAATTAATGCCCAAACACCAGTTTTGCATGGCTACAGAGGTATCTCCATTTTGCTAGGACTTGGGTTTTTCTTTGTTTTTCCCTTAAAAGGCATACTTCAAATGGTAAGGGGCTGTCAGAACTCCAGTTTTTGTGATCCAGTTTCCCCTAGCAGGAAGCAGGAGCAGGAAGGCTGGTGCACTAGGACACCTGAGACTTTTCTCCAGCAGATGCTGAAGAGAAGCAGCTGGTTTTGGTTGAGAAATAAAAAAGTAGGTTCTCCAAGGGGGTAGAATGGGCCTGAATGAGTCCTGAGAAGTGCTAGAGAGAAACAGGGAATGCTGGAAGCAGAGTCAGCCCCAGCAGGAGATGCTGGCACAGGGATAAAGGTTCCAGCAAAAGCTGTGCTAAACATAGAAGAGGCACTCCTGAAACTCCACAATCATATTAACCTGTTAATTTATACAGCATCTCTGTACAAAAATAGAAGGGTTCTAATAGAATTAACAATATTAAATAAATATTTAATAGAAAAAGTCTTTGGCCTAGTTCATAGCTCATCCTTTGGGTTGATGTTCATTTCACTGGGTCCTAGATGCTCCTGGTCCAACATTGCAATCACTTCATCTGCCTGGATTCGTTCCTGCAAGAGGGGAAGGGAAGAAATGGTAACAGCAGAGCTTCAGTGCCTGCTCCAGCTAATTCAGTGAGGCTCAGGCTGCTGGGAGAACACACAGCAAGGATTTCACCCCAGAACCAGCAGGTGAGAGGATGGGGGAGAGCCTGGGACTCAAGCTGGGGATTTTCTGGGCAAAATTCATCAAATCCCTTTCCACCTGAATACCTGATTCCTTCCTCCCTGCAGGGCTGCAGTGGTTGGGGCAGAGCTGATGTTCTGTAGCTCTCTTATCACACTCCACTAGCAGCCACTGCCACAGCACCCTCTCCTCCTGTCCCCTCTCTCTGCTTGTTGCTGCTTTCCAGCTCCCTGGGCAGGGCTGATCTCCTACCACACAGGCACCAAGCCTGGAATTTCTGCTAGTGCAAAAAAACTGAGAGATGTTGAAGTACATGTCTGAAAAAAGGCTTTTCCCCAAACCTCGCAGCCCACCTCCATCACAAGGCAAAGGAATGAGGGTTTTGCATTCTCCCTGCATTTAGTTTTGCTCAATCTTATATCTTTTGTTTTTACAGACCAGAATTGCTACCAAAGGGAGGCAGGGGCTGGTACAGCAACCTTTTAAAACAGAATGTGGAGGGTGCCTGGTGAAAGGCATCACAACCCAGATCTTCCAAGGCATCTTGTGTGCCCAGAGCCATGGAGTTCAAGCTGCCTATGGGAGGACTCGGCAGCAGGACTCAGCACAGCACTCTGAGCTGCAGATGGCTCTGGAGGAGCTCCTCATCCATCAGGCTACCCCATCCATCTGCCACTAGGTGTCAGAAATGGCCAGCCCAGCCCTGCACAGAGCCCTTCCACACCCCACTCAGCACCCCAGCCTGGCACTGCACCCCAGGGGCCAAGGGCAATGGGTGCCCAGGACCAGGACTGGCAGCCAAAACCTGTCCTAGGGCCACCAGCTGATATCATGGGAGTGCTGCTGTGGGGGGTGCAATGGGAGGAAAACAGATCTACTGGGACTGGAGAAAATCAGAAGGTTCTGGTTCCTGTGGGCTGCTGGGCACACCCCAACTCCCCTCACATGACGATGGAGGGACTCACCAGCTCTCTGTACAGAGGGTCCAAGGTGAACCAGAGAGCCACAGCGCACCGCTGGCCTTTGGTGACCGCCTTCACCCCATGGGGGTTCTCACCACCCGATGAGAAGCTGATCATCCTCCCACACTTGGGCTTGATGGAGGCCTGCAGAGAAACAGCACAACCAGGCTGGCAGGGAGCACCATGGCTGCACACACTGGCTGTGGCTGGGCTCAGGACCTCACTGGGCATCCCTCTGCATCATCCCAGGGCCCGGTGAACTGCAGTAGGGGACATGTACAGCTCTGGCATGGCTGGCAGAATGTGTGGGGTAAATAGGGAGGTGTGAAGCTTGCTCCTGCTGTGCTGACATCATGCAGAAAGGACTCAATGGCATGGAGTCTCTGCAAAGCCTGCAGGTGACCACCTAGAGCAAAACGGGGCCATGGCATAACTCCAGGGAGGTCCAGGGTAAGCCTGGCATGGCTCTGAAACACCTTTCTTTCTTCTCTTGGGAGTCCACAAGAGTCCTTGGACTCTTGGGAGCAGAAGTGCCGGCCAAATCAACCCTCAAGCACTTTTGTAGACTCAATCTACCCTCCAGCTTCTCCAGAGACCCCAGCATGGTGCCCAGACCTCTGTCCAACCACAGAGTGGGTGCCCAGCTTCCTTAATGGCCCCAAACAGAGGTCAGCAGGGACAACTACCAGCCATCCATCTGCCCACACTGGGGGTGGGGAGAGCCCCTACTCTGCAGGTTTGCTGCTTGGCATGGGCTCCAGGGAGGGAGCAGATGGTCTGTGCACCTCTGCAGCAGGATTTTGTGTGGGCTCTTTCCAAGGTAGGAGCCACAGGCTGCCAGGGGAAGCCCAGAGCCCTGAGCATGGACTGCTGAGGAACAGCTTTTGGCCCACAGCACCAACTCACTGTCACAGTTTTGGCGTCCATCTCGGTGAAAATGAACTCGCCACCTTCAAAATCTGCATTCATGTACAGGAGGGCACTGGGAAAGGAAGGGGAAAACCCCAGTCAGGGGAGCACTGGGCAAGTCTCAAGGCTGACCCCCACCTCCTGGACAGATCCCACATTGCTCCACTAAGACATGGGTGGGGAACAGCCAGAGGGACAGAAGTCCCTTGGGCGGTTTCTTCCCTTCCTCCCTACCTGTAATCCCGAAAGGTGTAGGCAGGAGGTTCCTTCCAGCACTCATTGGCCTCGGGGTCCAAGAGGCAGTTGTCAGCATGGATGGGATGGCTCAGATCGTTCCTTCGCTCCTGCTGGCCTAGGCAGGACCGTGTGGAGGAAGGGGGAAGGAGAAGGGGAGGATGAGATGGAAATGCCATGCTCTGTGGAGTCTCATCATGGGGTGGGAGCCTACCCTGACCCCACTCCAGGTGGTGTTCACAGGTGAGAGGAGGAAAGGAATGGCTGGGGAGAAAAGGCAACATCTGAGGACTCAGATCTGCATAGCTCTGCCTGTTCCTGACTGCAGGGAAGCGAGATGGAGAGCTGGGGCTGGGATGGAAAGGAGAAGGGATAGACAAGAGGAGGCAAGAGAAAAGGGAGGAGAAAACAGGAAGAGTTGCAGATATGAAAACCAAGAGTCATCCCAGAAATTATTATTCTAGGGACAGCAGTGCCCACTTTTTGCTGCTGTGGGATGCTGACTTTGCCCAGCCCTTGGCCACCAATTTAAGCATCAAGCAAAAGAGGGCTACTCTGAGTTTGGGACCCCCACTCACAAACCCCCCATGGAGGGCTGAGCCCCTCCCACCCTCCCTGCTCCACCACCAGCCCCACTCCTCACCGGAGAGGGCGGTGCGGCACACCAGGTGTGTGTAGGAGAAGTAGAGCGTGGAGTTGAGCAGGAAGTAGGACTCGACGATCCTGCGAGCCTTCTCACTGATGTCATAGAACAGCCGGGCACTCTTCAGCGGGACACGGCCCTCGTAGCCATACTGGGCAAGGAGAGGGCCAGGAGAGGTCAGTGTCATGTGCAGACTGGGAGGGAGGGCACGGGGGAGGAGAGGGAGGAGGAAGCTGTACCTTGAGGGCTTTGAGGACAGTGGCTCCTTCAAATCTCTCATTTGGGGTGTGGGGGGAGGTTTTGCCTCTGTAACCATCTCCAGCCAACATGATCCCCTGGAGGACACGAATACAGGTGAGGGGTGAACTGGTTTGTCAGGAGAGAGGGATCTGCAATGGAAGTACACGACACTCTCTTCCCCAAATCTCCCAGGGCTGCATTCACTGGGCCAGGTGAGTTGGGGTGGAAAGGTGCCACAGCTCTCTGTGAACACATGCCGGGAATCAACCACACACCTCCTCACTGGGGATGTTCAGGCACCCTCAGGCCCTTCCCAAGCTCAGTTAATGGTGAACGAGGAGGCTCAACCAGACTTGTGATGAGCATCCTTTGGGGTTGTTATAGCAAGGGGAAAGAGCTCTTTCTGCACAGGCTCTGTCCTGCAGGGTGTTCACAAGAACAGCCCAGGATGGAGCAGCAGCTCCACGCTGCAGTTATGGGCATGCATCGGGTACAGGCATCCACCTGCTCTCCACAGGCATCCTGCCATCAGCTGTAGCACTCAGCAAGGCATGAACCCAGCTCTCCAGAGGCTGATCACACATTCAGCTGTCACACTCAGCCCAGGGCCATTGCCCACTCACACTGGCCACCCTGTGCAGCTCCCGGCACTGCTCCTCTGAGATGACGTTATCCAGCAGCACTCGCTGGCTGCCGTTCAGCTGCTCAGAGTTGTAGACAAACTTCACGTCGCTGTAGAGAAGAGGGCCCCCTGAAGAGAGACACAAAACCATCCTGCTGAATATGCTCTGGCCTTGCTGACATCTTGTACAGTGGCTGGAGGCCAGCTGAAATCACCCAGGTGCACTGACAGGCAAAGAGTTCCAGAGCAGAGAGCAGAGTTTGGCCTCCCATCAGTAACAAAAGAAACAGAAGCAATGGGAACACAAGGACATGAAATCAATTTGCTGCAGGAGCATCAGCATTTTCTACCTTCTCAACAGCTGCCTTGCAAATGCAGGGACCACAGCCTGGAAACACCAAACCCCAGTGGGACATAGGGAGAGACAGGGACAGTGGCTACCTTGGCTCTCCAGCCCAGCTGTCAACACCAATGTAGGTTCCCATTGCATTTGTGCTGTGTGGGTGCTGCTGGCTTGGCATGCAAAGCCACTCTCTGCAACTGTCATCAGTGGTTTTTGTCTCCTATACACAGAGAAAACCTCAGATGGTGCTGAGCTTGCAGCAAGCACTGCTCTCCTTCAAGAAGGAGGGCAGGGAGTGGGTGAGCCAGAGGACTCTCAGGATAATCCTCCACCCCTGAGGCAAAGGAACTGCCATAGCTGTCCCTGCCATCCCTCACATCCTGCCTCTGAGCTTCCTCCCTCTGCCTGCAAGCTTTTTATGAGAGGTTTCAATCCATCCTCAAGAAATGTGACCAATAAAAAAACAGAGCAAGGCCCCTAAACCACCATATTTTGAAGCCTCTTCCACACATCTTCTCAAAGGAAAAAAAAGAAAAGAAATGGTAACAATAAAATCCTAAACCAGATGTTTCTCCAGGAGAAAAATGAAATACATCTAAACTGTGGAGAAAATTATTTCTTGTCACAAACAAGCAATGAAATAAACAGAGCCACAGAGTTCCTCTCACCATGTGGCACAAGGAAACTTCTCTGTGACAATGCTTTTGTAACTATTGCTTTTCCTGTCTATTGAGCCAGAACTGTGTTCTTGGCAGGTCCCCTTGAGGACAGAGGACGTGTAAGCCCCACAGGAGCCCAGCCATTACCCACAGCTTTATTTCTGAAGAGTTAGGTTTCTTGGAAATGGAAAAGATGCAACATTTCTGGTGTTCACTGTGCTGATTTTGTTGCTTGATAACCACACTTAATGCAAATGCAGTTAGATCAGAATCTGAATTCTCAAATCCAAACTCCTGGCATGCTCCAGATCAAGGCTGACTTTTCCAGCTTAAATACTGCTCTTGCCCAGCCATAGGCACATGAGGGATGAACATGGAAGGCTTCACTCAACACTCCAACATTTCCTCTTGCTCCTCCCTAGGGAACTAGTGGGGCAGCTCTGTGCCATGGACACTGAACCCTTGTCCCACACTGACAGTGTGCTCCCAGCTGCTTTCCTTGCCTCTGCCTGCTCCAAGCACCAGCAGAGACAGACCTGTTTCCTGTGTCTGTGCTCTGTGAAAAACACCCCAAAGAAACTGAGGAATTCTTTGGACTTTTGGGAGTGAAGGAATGGGCAGAAAGGAGGAAGGGGTGAAGGGCAGAAGTACAGAAGAGTACAAAATTAAAATAGACTTTTCTCTTTTGGCCTTTTCTTTTTCCAAGCAAAAAGAGAGGAAAAGACAATAGAGAAAAGGCAGCAGCTGGATGGACAAAAATCAAAGTTTCTTTTTGAATGGTTTCAGTTTTCTTTGTAAACAAAAACATTCTGCAAGTAAACCAGAATAGGAGCATAGAAAGAAATAAAAACAGAAAGAGGGACTCTGAAATTATTTGGTTATAAATGGCAAAGAGGCCAACAAACATAATTCAGCCAGCTCTTGGCTTAAGCAAGACCTTTGGGATCTTCCTGTGGTATTTGCCTATTTTATGTACCGCTAGAGAAGGGACAACAACAACACTGAACACAACACTGAGCAGCTGGACACAACTTGGGCTGGGGAAAGCTGTGAAATTCCCCAAAAAGCGCTACCGCCCATTGCATTACAGGGAGGTTTAATTGCCTGCTGCTGTGGACCTGGCTCACTAGAGACACAAGACACCTCCTGGCTCCAGACCCTGTTTTGCAGCAAGGACTCTGCTTTGGTGCTTGGCTACAGTATTGTTTTTCAGAATTGTTAAGGGGAAAAATCCTGTCTTTTGTAGAAGATGTTATGGTATTTTCTGTGGTTGCCGAAAATGTGCTGAAATCAGTTGAAATGTCTGCTGACAGGCTTATAAACAAGTGATTTCATGTGAGCTAAGACACAAAATCATAACCCAGCCTGCAAAGAGAAGTGGTTGCTAGTATGGTGTGATCCAGCACATTTTGCAAGGCATCAGGACAGGATGCTTCCAGCATCCATCCTTCTCTGGCCTGGGCAGCAGGGAACATGCTGATATTAAAAGCACCTGGAGGAAAGACTACTGTTTGCTGGTTTGCTTTCCCCATGGTGAGGAACACCCAGCCTCCCAGCTCCACATCTCAGGGCTCTGTACTGAGGAGCTCAGCAGGTGGGAAAAACAAGTCCAAGGGCACAGCAATGCCCTGGAATCTACAGTCCCAGAAATGCTGTGGCAGCACTGAAGACTCCTCTGTCTCTTAAACAAAATTTGAACTCCCTTAAATAGGAATGGCCCTCATTGCTCAGTGGCCAGCCTTTGCAGTCTGCAGTCTCTAGCAACAGGAAAAAAAAAAACAACCTGTTTTTATTGAAATATCTTCATCATCAGCCTTACCCTCCTTCAGCTCTCGATCTGGCTTTGCCATGGGTTTCTTTGTCAGGGACAGCCGGGGCCCATCCTCTGGTTCACTGCTGATACTTGATGGGACACTGAGGAGCAAAAGAGAAGAGGAACATCATGAGTTTGGCCACAAGTTCTTGGACTTGCATTTTTGCACCTTTTGGAAACTAATACACAAAACCCCCAAGGAAATCAGTACTTTGTACAAATGTCACAACCTTACAAGTTGAAGCCCTAACCCTGTCCCTATGGCAAACATTGCTTTTCTGGTGACAGGAGCAACAGCTTCCACCAACAAAACACAGACACCAACAAATCTGACCAGCACCGCTTGCCTCGTTAATCAAATTCCCTCTCGACCACTGCTGGTTTTGAGGCACTCAGCTAAAGTTCTTGTGGGAATGTTTGCAATGGTCAGGGGCAAAGGGCTGTAACTCAGCCAGGATGGTGGGCTGTGTGGATGGGCAGTACCCCTGAGTGGCAGGCTGGTGGCACACCCCCTTGGATGCCACATGGGGAATGGTGAAGCTGCAGCTCTGCTGGGGTGACCGTGGCTCACCTGTGCTCATCCTGGCGGGCACCGTACCTGTTCCAGTAGTTCTGTGGGAAAAGAGAGGACAAACTTCTTAATTTAATGCTCCAGCCAAAGCCAGTGCATTACCTGCTCTGCCTGACTCCCAGGGACATCAGCCAGCCTCTCTGGATCCATCCCACATTACTTTGGGCAATGGACTGAGGTCACCAGATTGAAAATATGAACCCAAACTGGCACAGTATGACAAGTACCTTGGAAGCCCAGCTTGCCCAGGCACCTCTGTCTCACCCCATCACCATGGCAGTGGCTGAGGCTCAGACACCATGGCAAGAGAGCTGAATGAGGCTGTATGTGCCTCTCCTTCACCCCAGGAACACCTTCTTTGCTTTGCCATCACTATTTTCCTATAGGGAACAAACCAGGCCGAGACCCAACTCCTGAGTCACGTACACAGGACTGGATTTACAGGAGAGGGGCAGGGGGGAGCTGTTCCTACAGCTGTGAACTCCTAAAGGTCCTGGCACAGCACACCCAGGCGTTACCGGCTCCGTGTAGGCGTATCCCAGGCCGGCCGCAGCCACCTGCAAGAGGTGAGACTCCAGCTTGTGGCGCCGCAGCAGCGTTTTGGCCTCCTGAAAAGAGAAGGAAAACAGGAGCAGTTGCACATAGCCAGCTTTTGCAAGACAGTGGCAATGCACCTCTGCATCGAGGGGTTTGATTTTCATGCAGTGCTGCAGTGGGGTGGGGGATGCTTGGCAAGAGCACAAGGCTGAGCCACTCAGTTCACGACAGAAGGTGTTCAGCAACTCATTTAGGAAGTCTGAATCCCCTAAACACATGTCCATAGCTGGCAGAAATTCCTGAGCACCTTGGAGAGCCTCAAAATCTGGGCAAAAGGCTGGCCAGAGAAACCCCAGCTGCAGAATGGGGGCGAGTTCAGGTTGTTGGAACAGGGACCCTGGTTGGGCTGTGCCTCAGTTCCCCACCTGGAGCCCATGGCCTGGCCCTGGGATTCACTCAGAGTGCAGGGTGGGGGCTACAGAGCACAGCCAGCTGGAAATTGTCCATCAGAAAGCTTTATTTTGAATAAAAAAGAATCTGAAAAAAAACCACCGGTATTTCTCCTAGAAAACTATTGTACAAAGCAAAAATAAATTATTTTCTTTACAGAAAACTTCAGAACACTGTAAACAATTAAATGTTTTTGTCAACTTCAGGTTTTATTCCGACATTCATTTTGTGAGGGAAAATAAAAATTTTTCTTGTTTTCCTCTTTATTATTTTGCTTTTATTTTTTTAGCACTTTCCCCAGGGCCACAAATAAAGGCTGCCCAGACTGGAGAGGAAGCCTGTCCTGCTGGGTGATGGAACACACACATTTTGGTTGTTTGACCCCAGCCTAACCCTGTGATAGCAAAGCTACTCCCTACAGAATGGGCTGAGCCCTGAACTCCAAGCTAAAAGACTTTAGAGTAATGCTGAGATCCAGCTTCCCCTGGGAAAATATTTCTCAGCCCTCTCTGAAGAGATGCTGCCCTTTGCTCAGTGTTTCATTGCACTCCTCCTCCGCGTGTCCGCCGGAGCACTGGGCAAGAGGAGAGTTTACACTGTTGGTCACTGCCCTCCCTGCCCTTGCTCAGGCTTTACTAGGCTCAAGTCCCCATTTAAAGCAGACCCTGGCCATCAGCTTCTCCCACACACCACTGACTCTGAATTTGTACCCTGAAAATCACCACCTCAGCATCACCACTGAGCCCAGCACTTCCACTCCTCTTTTCAAAGTGGTCCCACTGGGGAAAAGCTGCCAAGATGCTTTTATTTCCAGCAGACTTTTCTGTTAAATGCTCCCAGCAAGAGCTCTCAGGTATCACTCACTCTCACCTTTCTGGGTTTGATGGTGGCTGGATTCACTGTACCTTCCAAGAGACCCTCGTAATAACCTGCGTTCTCCAGAACATCTTCATCATCCGGGTGGAAGAGCAGGTAGGACTTGGCACACTCCAGGGCTTTTACATAGTCACCAACTGGGGGGGAAACACAACAGTGGTCAGGGGGGCATGGGGGGCTCACACAGAGCCCCAGGAGGGGATTCTGCAGGGAAGGAAGCACATCATGCACAGTCCAGATGGTAGCCAAATTGGATCCAGCTGGATGGGCAAGATGTGGATACTGTCTGGCATCAAACTGCTTCTCATCTGTGCAGCATCTCTCAGGGCCCAGGGGGTTTACCCACCACACTAAACCTCTAACTGGGCAGAGGAATAAAGAAGCCTGTACACCATACATGAACTGATTCCTCCTGCTTTATTCTCGTTGTGTTGATAAATGAACAATCTTTATGTTTGAACAGAAATTTTGACCCTTGCACAGTCTGCCCTTTTCAGTGAAGAGTTATTAGCAAAAGCCTGAGAGCTGATTCCTGCAGATTTGTATTTTCTTTTATGTAACAGAACATAATAAAATAGCACACAGAACCACACAACTGGCATTATTTTTTAGCACTGCCAACCCCTGACATTTTGCCATGCTGCCAACTCCTGCAACTTTACTGTGAATCTTAAAATATTTGGTAATTGGCAAAAATTGGCATCTTGGGGCAAGCTTGAGCTAATTCATATAACAGTTATATATTAATTTAGAAAATGTATCAGTTCATTTCAGAAAATGTGAAGCATATAAAACCCAAGAATTTTAATATCAAAAGGCAAATGAAAGGACCCTAAAAAAGCATGATTTATTTAAAGAATAGTAATGTTTAAGCTAAACGTTGGGCTTTTAAAACCTGACTGATGATCTAAAACACCTTCATGAAACTATTTAATTGTATTTCAAAAGTCAACCTGACTTTTGAAGAGACAATTTCCAATGTCCTTTGCTTCACTTTCAGACCATACCTCTACATCACTGTAATGATGATATGAATGTAATGTAATGAAAACATTACATTAATTTTGTGAAACAGCCTTGCTCCCACATGGGACAACTGGAACTTGTAGAAAATGAACAGAGCTCAGCAAGAGCTCTGAGGAACACCACCAGAGCCCTTACCTCTGTAATAGGCAAACTGCAAGTAGTCGTAATGGAGGGGAAGGAAGTTTTCGATGGGCGAGATCCGGCCCGAGCGCGTGGCGAGCTCTCGGACACAGTCGTGCTTGCAGGCCAGGACCTGCATGTAGTGATCTGCCAGGAGAAGAGGGAGAAGGTGGTCTGAACTGAGAAGGATGCTGATGGTGCCGAGACAAGGACAGACAGAGGTTAAAACTCCTGAGCTGAAGGATGTACAACTCACACTGCTTTGGCCTAGCAGGTGAGTGTGGAGGCTCCACCCCAAAGCCGGTTTGACAGAGCGGCAATTACATTTTTTCCCCCTTTAAGAAACGCCTTCCTCCTTCTGTCAACTGCAGAGGGAGCTTGAGCATCTCTTTTGTGTGGCAGGAGCTGCTGCTCTGCCCAGGGAAGCCGGCGGTGTGCAGGGACTGCAGGTGGCAGGTGGCATTTCAAGCCCAAGAGACAAACCCACAAAGCAAGCAGAGATGTGAAGACAAGGTGGCCACATGTGCTGCCACATGAAATCCAGCTCCAGACTCCCTTCCTTCAGCTCATCCTTAATCCTCTCCTTTCCTGCAGGAAGAAAGCTCCTGTGGGCAAGGGAGGTTTAGCTAAGAGGGGTTGGTGCAGATTCTCAGCACAGCCAAGCAAGACCAGTCTGAAAGGTCCGAGGTGCAAATCTATCTGAGCAGCAGAAATCCCCCTGTTTGCTGCTTCTCAGAGATGATGTATCTCCCAGGGAATCACAAGCAAATGGTAAACATCGGCCATTAACAAAGTTTCTTAATTGCTGGGAGTCCACAGTACAGGCGTTGTACCAGCTGTACCATTTCAAAGCCAACACTGACATCTGATTCCATTTTGGAGCCCCTGCTGCAATGTACTTATGAATCTACTTTGCTTGCTCTGTTTCTGCACACCATTAAAAACCTTAAGAAACAAACACAGGTTTGAAAATAACCATGTGCTCAGCTACCAAAGCATTTCTGAGACCTGCCATAAAAACCGCCTGAGGAATTTGCAATCAAGTGGAAACTCAGAACAGTGCCTATCTGCTCTTGACAGGTAGTCTGAGTAGTTATCTGACTTACCATACACATCCAGGGTATTACATTAAGAAGAGCAAGAAGGGAAAGGACATAAATCATACTGTTGTAATTTAAACCTGTTTAAGCATCCTAGATCTGAAATAATCAACCCATCACTGAGAAGCACTGCTTTTTCTTGGTACTGTCAGAGTGTCCTAGAAATAAGCCTTTTAGACTGGAATCCATTAACTGAAATGCATCTGTCCCTGGGGGGAAAAGGTGAGAGTGTTTCAACCCCAAGCAGCAGCACAGCAAATCAGTTTGGGATTGAAAAGAGAAATGAGTTTTGTAGAAACGTAAACTCTCTTTTCTTGTTCCCACTCCCTATTGAAACATCTGGGCCTGAGAGCCTTGGACCAAGGGTGAACTTTGGATTATGCTGTCCTGGAAGGAACCACCTAGTTTCCTACAGAAAAGCAGTTGCATCACAGATCTTATTTCCCTCCCTGAACTCCCTGTTTCTTCGGGTGCCTGAATGGCCCTGGTGTTTGGGGTTGTTATGGCCAAGCCACAGCACTTGCAGGGACCGTGTGGCTGTTGTCTCTCCCAGGTGATGTCCTGCTCTGAGCACCACCACACCATGCCCCTGGCTGCTCTCAGGATGGGCCAGCACAGAAACACCTCAGCTCACTGGGGCTGCACTCACACAGCACAGGAACAGCTTGTCCTGTTCGAAGAGCAGCAGCTTTCAGTGAGAAGGATGCTGGGTTTGCTTTGCACTGAAGGCTGCCCTTTTGATGTGGCCCCTGGTGTCCTGGTCAGGGCTCTAAAAGCAGGCCTGATCAGCTGACAGCCACACTGGTACCAAGTCAGCCCTTCCAACACTTCTGTTTTTCGCATGGATAAACAAACCCCACCAGGGCAGCTTCCCATCCGGAATGCTGGTGGTTTCTCCTCTTGGTTGTTTCAATTAGATTTCCTGTCTCAACACAAACAGAATTATGCAAACTCAAAAAGCAGTCTGCATCTGAGCAAAGTATTTTCCACAAAAGAAGCAAGATTTCAGGGCTTGATGCAACTCCAAGACCATAACCGAGTAAATAAGATTTCTGTCACCAAACAAACCTTAATTTATTGCTTTTCTTTCCCTTACAACTATGTAATCTCATTTTTATTGAGATTGAACTGTTTTAATCCTCTCTGGCTCAGAGCCACACATGCAAATCTGAAGATTACACAGCAACATTCAATTCTCTCCAGAGACTTCAGTCAAGATCATAATTAGGTGGGCCTCCACTAATGACAAATCCATCCTTTTGGATAGGGAGAAAATCCATGTTACGAGCCTTTTTGGCAACTTTCCTGGCCACTTGGAGCATGGCCAAGAGAACTCTGCTGCTCTCTTCATAGGCTTTCAGAAACAGAAAACATAAACAAAGGCCAGCAATGTCTAGATTCCAGGGAGGTGTGCGAGACTGTGTACAGGGGAAACGGAAGCAGTTTATGATAAAGCACCTAAACTTCCAGCTCTAGGAAAGCTGCAAATGCTGCACACATCGGGAAATGCAATTCTTCTAGTCCAGCTTCTATTCAGAACCAAGCTCAGATGTTCTAGTTCACTGTCCTCTGAGTTTGCACGTTCTGGGCTTCCAGGTGCCTCCTGCAGCACCAGCAGCAGAGATGGAAGGGAAGACTCTTCAACAAATCCAGCCAAAGGCCCAAACCCAATAATACAAAACATTTCAGGGCCAAGGGTGAGAACTCTAAAAATGCAAAAAGATCTCACCTGCAATAGCTTCATAGAGACCAGCTTTGTAATCCAGGTACTCATGCTCCTCAAACTTCTGTGGTCCCTCGCACATGATCTGGCAATCCTCATCCTCAGAGTAGTATCCTTTCAAGGCACGCTCCAAGAACTCAATGGCCAGCTCATACTCCTCCTTGTCATAGTGCCTCACTCCAGCACTGTAGTCCTCCTGCAAAGCAGGAAGGCAGAACACAAACCATGAGCAGGCTACGCTGCCTGGAGCACAGCATCCTGCCCTCACCACCTGCAGACGCTTCTCAAAAGAAGGTACAAGGGGACAGGGACAGGACAGTCTCTACAGATATATCAGATATAACCAAACCATGTTTAAGACATTGATGGACTTTTGGACCAGTGGAACCTAATAAACCTGCCTAAATGCTCTTCTGAACTCCGCCATACTTAGAGAATCCTCAATGCCACTCCTAGATTATGTATTATATTTTTAAAAATCCTTTTTTTTTGTTGTTTTTACCCTCCCCCCAAATAACATTACTGAATGACAATGGAACAGATTGGTCCCAACCTAGGAAGATCATTCTTAGAATGGCCTCTAATGGGCACCTTCATTAATTACACCCAACAGCCACTCCTGCTCCCTTGAGTCTTGTGAAATTGGGAAGCTGGGGATGGCCCTGGCATTTGATTTGGGTTTTTGCATTGTGGAGGTGAAAACAGCTGACACTCTCTTGCCTGCCACTCTGCACCCTTACCACCATAGCCAGCAGTGTGCATGCACCCTGCCCACGTGGGAGAACTCAGGTCAAAAGAAACACACAGGAGCCAAAATCTGTCATGGAAGCTTCCATCAAAGCCTGTTGATGGTGTGCCATCAATCAAAGCCTGCTGGCGTGTGTTCACAGCCATGGGTGACCCCAGAGTTCTCTGAATAGAGGGGACCAGGCTGGGGATGTGGCAATCAACAAAGAGCAGAGTTCCTAGAGAAGGAAGAAGCAGGCTTGCCTTAAGTGAAAATGCTGAAAGGGAGAGTTTGTTTTGCTGTATTGGTAAGAATTTCCGCATTCATAGATTAATCTCTGTAAAATCCTAATCTCTCCTCTCCAGACTTCCTGATACTTAAGCTGGGCACCTCTTCAGCTCAGACTCACCATGTGCTGCCTGGCCTCCTGGTCAATCAAGCTGACCTTCCCTGATGTGGTCTTGTAGTTCTCGAGGTCCTGCTGTATCTCCATGTGCTCAGGGTTTGCCATGAAGAAGGTGTGAGCTGCATTTGCTGCCTCCTCCAGCTTATTCAGCTGTAACAAAGTGAGAAAGACCAAGTGAGATTGGTGATATAGGCAGATGAACACAGCAGTTTATGCAGCATCCTCTGACATCCTTTTGACACCACTGGATTGGGAAATGATGGGATAACCAAGGAAAACCTGAATGCAGAGGCTAAAGAAAAAGAGGAAAGCCCCATGTAAGTGAAATTGAAAGAGCTGGAGTTACTGAGAGCCAGACAAGTCACTGCAACATGGTCTGTTGTTGATGATGGGATCCAGCCTGTTTTCCAGCAGCACATCCTCTTAACTCAGCTACTTCAACCCCCTGCACAGTCACAGGTGGAAAGATGCTTTCATGAAATACGAGATGGAGAGAGGAGGGGAAAGCAACTGCAAAGATTGCTCTCTCTACAAGACTCAGAGGCTATGTCTAGGCTGAGGGCTTCTGCTTGGAGATGGGGACTGTGGACCATTTATTAAGCTCAGCTGTGTATAGCTGCAAAAGGCCAGACTCTGCTGATGGTGACAGAGGTATAAAGAGAAGTTTATTTTGATATACCGAGTTATTTTGGGTTTAGAGATTCAGAACTGAGACCAGACATCAGTTTCACCCTGGAGAAAGCCTCATAAACAAACAGAACTGTTAGTGCTAAACACATCCATGTCAGCTGCTGGGAGCACCAGGAGCAGAACAGATGTTCAGGTAAAACCTCTGCAGGAGCTAGCAGGAGAGAAGTCACTAAAACACTTGCTTCTGAAAGAAAGCCAACACCACTTAGTACCAGCAAGCTGCAGTCAGGTCCCTGGGATACATCAGCAATCTGACCCAAACCTGTCAGCCAGGGCCGGGCTAATGCTAATCCAGGCTAGGCTGTGCCCAAACAGGTTGTTTTTGACAGCAAAACCCACACCAAGCCCTGTGCCACTGCTGCAAGGCTGCTCGTGAGGCACCAGAGCCAGCAAGCTCAGGCACATCCATGTGACATGGTACAGCAGCTCACCTGCACAGGCACCCACAGACAGACCCCACCAGCAGAATGAGAACAGACACCTGCAGGGAGGCATGAGCTGCACATCCTGTCATCCTGCAGCAGGGCAGAGGGGCTCCAGGGCAGGGCTAGCCCAAGAAGCACACAGGAATATCCCCAAAAGGAAGGTGACAGCCATGGCATCCCAGCCCTGCTCCCCAGGTCTGCACACCAAAGCACAGCTGTGCTGCAGTGCCCACAGAAATGCAAAAAATTTGCCTTGTGTAAACTTCAGAAGTTTTTAAGGATTATCTCTGTACTGACAACATGTGAAGGGAAGCCAGATTTTACTGCAAAAACAACATCTATTCCAGTCTTTCATTTGGAGTTTTCCAAAGGACACCACTCTCCATAATAATCCCTTGGCTTTCCAGCAGGCATGAAAAATGACTGTAAGAAATTTTTGACCGGGACAGCACATAAAAAAAACAAAACCCCTTCAGAATAGAAGTTTTTGGTATTTTTAAAAAAGAAACAGTCCTACTCAGAAACATACGTTCCCTTTTGAAATAGATCACTTCAACATAGTCCCAGTCTGGAAAAGTTGACTGCAGCTGGACACCATCGGATGTGGGATAAAGGACTGACCAGATCATCTCACAAAGGGAATTTTCAGGTCCTGCTGAGTGTCTGTGGGAATGCCACTGCAGCTGGTAATTAGAGACAGTCAGGATGGAACAAGAAGTTTGTTGGAGACATGAGATGCTGACCTGATCCAGAGGACTGCTAAGCCATTATTTGAGATGCCTGGGGGAACTGGATTCTTCCATGCCACAGGTTTCTATTCACAAGCAGCACCCTGCCTGTGCAGATTTAAAAGGGACTGAAGGGACTCTCAGAAGGGAAGTGATCCCTCAAGACACAACCTGCAATAGTCTGTTGTGGGATGTTCATTTTCCCCTTAGTTCTAGATCTGTTTCAGAAAGCTGTCAAAAACTGTCAGAGACCCCAGGATGGACTTACAGTTCTTCCGGATAACATCCACCCCTGTGAAACAGGAAGAGCCTGACTTCTAGACAGAAAATCCCTTTCAAACGAGGCTCACACTGTGTCTAGTCCTGCTGGCTCTACACAGCAGAGATGACCTTTGGAGTTTGCTAAGTGGACTTGAAGCAGAACATTGCAACTCAATGCTTTTCAATTTATCATGTTCCGTATTTGCCTTAGAAACATTCAAGTAACACAAAGAAGCCAACAGCTGCTAAGTTTGGGGGAGCTTTTAAGTGGGTGAGTGTATATAAAAGCAAAATTCCTAACTGGTAAGACATGTTCAGAGCCTAGCTCTGACATTAGTTATGAAACACTCTGGGGAAACTTTTGCCAAAATACTGAATTCACAAAGAGCAGGATATTTTGGTGCTTAAAGGTCTGGGCTGGGACTCCGGACACCTGGACTCAGTTTCTGGCCTTGTCACAATCTCACTGTGCAGCTCTTGGAAAAAAATAATTTTTTCTTTGTGCCTGGTTTTTCACTGTTTTTTAGCTAATAACAATAAAAATAATAGCATTTCTCCCACAGAATAGTAATTTTGTTTATTTGGATGGAAAGCAACTTGGGGGCCATAAGCATGTGCAAGCACGTAACACACAGAGATTTTGATCTTTGCACAACAACTGCTGAATGAAAATCAGCAAGGAAAAAATGACAAATGTAGACTCACAACCTCAGTATGTGCTCTAAGGTCTGCTTGCTCACCCCACTGGAATGAGATTGCTAGACCATTGCTGCAGCTTTGAACCAAACCCTGTGTATTTCAGCCAGAGAAGACACAAGAAATCAGAGCATCAGCACTGAGAGAGCCCTGGGAACACCCTGCCCTGTCCATTTTGATCTTAACATGCCAACATTTAGAGCCAAGAAGGGGAAAACAACAACACGTAAGTGCTGCTGGGTTCTGATGCTGAAAGATGTTTATTTTCCTCAATTAGATTCAGGAGTGGTTCATTTCACAGAAAAATAGGAAAAATTCTTGTAAGCAGCAGAACCTCAGATGAAAGATATTGGCATTCCATGTCAAACTGTCCTGATCCAACCTGCTTCTATATTAAAGTTTCATCATCACACAAAACATAGCTGCAATCAAAATTTCTTCTTTTGAGGAGAACAGAAGTAAGGTTTATGTACTTATAAATAGGAAAATAGGTCAGATCCCTCAGCATTTTTTGCCATGCCAGGATGGGGCCTACCTGCACATAATCTCAGTTAATTGCAGAGCATGGAGCTTGTGATGAAAAATTTCAAACCATTCAGCTAACCTAGAAACCAAAGTCTCCAACCTCCCAGACAATCCCTGGTTTGCTGAACAGATGATGTTTTTCTAAACTTTTCCATTGCTCCACTGCTGCTGTGTTGTATTGAAGGCTTAGTGCACTGGGCTCTGCAGAGGAAGGAGGCTCTGGAGCCTGCAAGCACAACAAGGGAAATAAAAGGTTCAGTGTCATGAAGGATTAATCTCATTGTGTCTGTGCAGAGCTTACTGCCCAGGAGCTCAGGAGCAAGGAGCGGTGAGATGGCTAAAAATAGCATGTGACCTTGTCTCAACTATTTTATTATTGCAAATAAGAAGGAAGAAATTCTCCAGAGAAGTTAATCAGGAAATCTTCCCTCTGTTGATGGGTTCCACATTTGCAGAATGATGCCTGAGCTGTTTGCAGCCCACTGGTACCAACTGGCTCCACAGAACCACTAAAATCAGATAGCAAGGCAAGCACACAGCAGGAAAGGACTTTAATCAAATGCAGGAAATAGGTACCCAGAGTCAAAGGTTCAGTACCACTCTTCGTTCAGTACCACTTTTTGTTTTCCAAACCTTTTACCAGTTTCTTGTCTTCCAACTCAAGGCTACCTCCTATCCCTACTACTGCTGTGATGGAGGGCAATAATGATACATTCCTGGAGGCTCAACATGTATCTTTTGAGAGGTTTTTTAATTTTCAAAATAAAAAAAGCTTTGGACAGTTCCCCTTAGACCACCCCAGCTCGTGTGCTGCTGCCTACCAATCACTCTGGTAGACCCAAATCCAAAACAAAACAAATTTGCAGAATCAGCACAGGGAAAATCTCTCATGAGAATGGAAACTGAGAAACAGCTTGGGGTTTTTTGGTATTCCAACAAGCAATTTTCAGGACACAAACATGTGTGGATACCGATATGTGGATTGGTAGGTACGTGGTAAAATGAGCTGATGAACAGATGATGAATTAGTCTCCACAAAGTGGGAGATACTTGGAAGTCTAAAATCAAACACCAACATTCTTCATGGAAAAAAAATCTTTCAAATAATGAAGACAGAAATCACATTTCTTAATGAATCTCTCATTTGAGCCATGCTGGCATTATTTTATGAATCCATGCTGAGCAGACTGACTGGATAACCCTGTCTGAAAGGGCCATCTAGCACTGAGAAAGCAAATTAGATTGACCCTTACATTCTCCCTTCCTTTCCTCTCTGACATGCTCTTCTTGAACTGTTCCCAGGCATGTAAGAATGAAGATTTCCACACGTTTCTGGCTGTGAATTATATGCTTCAGTGCACACTTGTGTAATAAATCCTGCAGAAGGAGCAGGGCATTTACTCACAGCAAAACCACTTCCCAGCAGGAAGGACCCTTCCCATATAAATCTCCAACACACTGAAGCATTTCAGGATTCATCTGCAGAGCAAGCAGTGGGAAATGTGTTTGTATTTACTGAACCTTCGATCTGACTGATTGCGAAATACACTCTCAGCCACATTTTGCCCTGTGTAGACACTCACTTCTGCCTAACAAACTCTGAGAGCAGTGAAGTTCTGTGTGTGAAACAGTGTTTTCAATGAGGAAAAGGTGGGATATATTCAGCCCTCAGGAATCTGTGCAGATGGTTACCCATGAAATTCCTACACCCCAGAGTTGTCCTTGGTGAGATAATTAACCAGTGCCCTTGGAGATGAGTAGCATGGGAGAAGCAATACACACACTAATGGCAACAAGCAGTGCTTGATTCTAAAAGATGGACAGT